CCTCAAATCTAGAAATTTTTAGCCAGGTTATTTGTATTGTGATGAATTTTCTTCACATCTGCTGTTTGGTTATGCCATTGCACTACATAGTACACTTAAAAAATAATAATAATTTTATCTGTTTTAAAAGATAACTCTTTGTGCCAAGAACACATCTATGGGATACAGAGTATGCGTGCCCAACTTGTAACAATTCCATTATAGTTGTCTATTATCTGACACTCTAGTGTGCTTTTTAGAAAAATATAGGAGTATGAGGATCAGCTGATTTTCCAATAATTTGCATTGTTTGCTCTTTCGAAGACTACATGGCTAATTTTCGTTGTAATATGGCAGCTGTTGTGAATAAGGCTTGTAGGGGGGATGGCCATGTTATTCTAAGTCCAGTTCAAATCTCACCTAACCTTGGTTTGAGGAGAGAGTGAATATCGTTCGCTTCTGACTATGAATGGTGGGTGACATTGAGCATAATCACAATTTTAATTTCTTGTGAATCAAGAAATCCTTCATGAAATAGTGGACAGATAAAACCAAGTGTTAGGCTGGTGTATGAAGTGGTCCTGGCCGTAAAGCTTTTAACTTTAAAAACCAATATTATAAGCCAGTGCAGGATTTTTTATTTTCTGCAAAATCTTGAAATGGGTTCCTCTTCAAAGTAGAAGAGATGATAAATTTACTGTTGGTTTTTTTGGAAATAAACAAATCATTTGAAGGCCTGGATGAATATTTTGTGGGATCATACTTGTAGCAGCAAATACGTCAACATTTAGAAAAAATGACTGGACGAAAGAAACCCACCAGAATTAACAAAAACAAACATATTTTTGAGATGCTCAAAATATGCTATATTGCAATGCAAAATAGTGAGTATTTACCGCAAAGACAAAATGAGCATTCCTTCAGACCCTCTGTAAGGGTTTCTGTGTCCATCAGTCTGGATCCTTGTGGCAGGTTCGCCTTCCTCTCAGCTTTATTCTGCTGATGGGAATCAGGGTTGGAGTCAACAGAACAGGTTGGCCGATAATTGAAAAATTAAACGAGACTTACCTGTAAGTTGAAGTTTGATTGGAATTCTATCGAGTCATCAAACTGCACGAAGGGATCACATGAGATAGCTAGACGCATGCACATAACCAGTATTTACAGCCGAATGTGACAGTCTGATCACCATGAAGTAGATTGTATAAGAACTGTAATGTCAATAGCATTACAAATAAATGGGTGGGTAAAATCAAATGTAAGTATGATTTGTTGCCCAAGGAGGGGAAATGTGATCCCTGGTGCAGTTTGATGACTCGATAGAATTCCAATCAAACTTCAACTTACAGGTAAGTCTCGTTTAATTTTTCAATTCTATCTCGTCATCACTGCCCCAGGGATCCCATGAGATTTCAAAGCCAAGACAGTCACACGTCCTCTTTAGCAACAGGGACAGAATAGTATGCGTCCTTTAGGTCAACTGAAGCCATAAAGCACCCCGGACGCATGAGTTTAAGAGCTGTTTGAATAGTGTCCATTTTGAAATGGTGGTACGAGACAAATTCATTAAGAGGTTTGAGATTTAAAATCATTCTGTTGCTGCCATCTTTTTTAGGCCGCACAAATATAGTTGAGAGGAAATCCCTCTCTACATATTCAGTTTGTTCTAAAACTCCTTTACGGAGAAATGTAGATATTTCATCACTTATTATCTCCCTTTCACTAGGTGAGGAGTGGATTTGTTTTGGTGTGTGAGGTTGGACGGGGGTATTAGCTTCAAACTCAATATGGTAGTGCTTTATGGCATCAAGTATAACTTGGTCATTTGTCAAAGATTCCCAGGAACCAACATGGTCCTTCAGCTGTCCTGCTGAAAAAATACGGACCATTTGATGCAAATAATCCCCATCCATAAATGATTTAGGATGTGTCCTCACCTGGGTATCGTTTAATCTTTGTTCTTGGATTGGCTGGGTTTTTTCGGGGCACTCTTGTGTCCCCGGCTGTACCCTAAAAAAGGGCGTGTCTGAGATGTTTCCTGGCCAGTAGATGTCCGGTGGTATGGTTTGAAATTTGAGCGTGGAAATTTCTGCCTCCCAGCCTTAGATAGTTATGGCTGGATTTGCGGGTGTCAGAGGTCCTCTGCATCGCTCGCCCGCCTTCTTTGCGTCTGCCATATCCTTTAGATGTTTTGACAATTCATCCCCAAATAGCTTTGTAGAGGGCTTGATGTCCTCTTTGCATAACCTTGTGAAAAGGGGGTTGAGGTCGGGCTTGAATAGCTCTCTTCGTTTCATATTAAGTTTATAATTGGCCTTAGCCACAAGGGCAATGCTGTCTATGACCTGGTCCAGGACCTGACGGACGTTAGTGGGTTTGCCAGTTTGAAGGTCCTTTACCAACTGGTCCCCCAAAATCGACAAGGATGATAAACCCTGAACAAGCAATTCTTGCACCTTCTGAAAAGCAAGGTCAACTGTTCTGCTCCTCCTGGGAAGCAGATCCCAAACCTCCTCGTTAACTGTTGTAGTACACAGGAACTTACAGTTTTCTGGTGGAGGGTATTTATCAACTCTTTCCTTCACCGTTTCTGGTGAAAGACCTCCAGAAGCCATATTATCAATTAGACTGGCAACCTTCTCTGTTATGGCAGGAGATTTATCGTTGGTCTGTACAAATGCCTGAGTCAGGCTTTCGAGGACATCATTCTGCTTTTCTGAGTCAGAGCCAGCAGATTCTTTCACCACGCAAGAGTCGCTCGGGTCGAGCACATTATTTAATGTGGCAGTAATATTTGGTTGTGCATTGCTCATGTTTGAGTCTTCCTTTTCTGCCTTCTCGTCTGATTTAGGATGTCGTCTTTAAGACTGGTGAGCGTTGCTGTCTGCTTTTCTGAAGCTTTGGTCACTTGTGCCAAAGTATCGTTAAGTCCTCTGAAGATCGCCGCCATGGTGTTCTGTGAAAGTTGGTCTACAGCATCGTTCGAGCGCTGGATATCGGGTTCCAAACCTGGTGTAGTCATTCTAGGTGTTTTCTACCCAGTGATCTTATCGCAGACCTGATATTAAGAAACTTGAAGGTAAAAATTGAAGATTTTCTTCGTATAAGTAGTCACCGTGCTAAACTAATTTGCGCGCGAAAAGCACTGGTTATGTGCATGCGTCTAGCTATCTCATGGGATCCCTGGGGTAGTGATGACGAGATAGAATTAGGACAAGCTCGGCAGGAAAATCTTACCAAAAATTTAAGACTTCACGTGCTCGTGTCATTCGTTTTGCTGGGGGGCTCGTTTTCCTTAGATATGTTATCATACTGAAGCTTCCTTTTCTTATTCCACGTTTTGAACCCTTCGTGTAACCTTTTTATTTTTGTTTCTTTTCTGGTCTCGATCGCTTCCACTTCCCGAAAGCGACCTGACGCATTACGGATGTTGTGTAGGCGTTGTGTAAACTTCTGGTCATTGACTGTCATTATCGTGCTCATTACTGCAAAGTATCGATGCCGTTTCACTCTCATCAAGTAAACTTCGCATGTATGTGACAAAAATTATGCACTCGCGTGAAGCCTCCATGTTTGTTTAGAGTTTGATGACATTTAAAGCTCCCGCAGTTTTCGTACCCATTCTTCGCGCGGCCAAAAAACCCTATTGAGCCACCTTAACTTATTTCACAAAACGAGAAATCACAATTAAGTAAACAAGGATACAAATTGCTTAATTAAATAAACTAAAAAGACGTAAAAGTATTTACCTTGGTGCCGCTATCACTAGAACGATTAAAAAAGGTTTGAGCACGGCGGCTAAAACTTCGCTTTCAGTTGAAAGATCTTGGGTCAACTGATGACAAAAGAAAACAACGTAACCCTTAGACAGCTTGAGGGCTGTCGCGGCGCTTTCGTGAGCGCTTGCGATACACGCGTGCAACTAAATTAAAGGTCGCGGGGTGCTATATTGCGTCAGTTACACAAGTATCAGACGCACTAGGCTTTTATAAAGTTTAGAAAACAGCTCAGCGTTTTTAGCACCCACCGTTCGCCTTATGAATCCAAGTACACTTGTTGCCCTTTTTGCGCATTTGTTCGCTTGCATACTCCATGACAAACTCGAAGTAATGTAGATTCTGAGATCTTTAACTTCAGATACAGCTTTCAACTGGTTACCACATAAATAGCATTGAGGACTTGAGAAATTATTCTTTTTTAGAAATGCGCATAGCTTCGCATTTATCTGTGTTAAACGAACGCTTTTCATTCCACTAATTTATTCGTGTTTTTCTCGTTGCCATGTTCCCATCAATAACGTAGCTCTATTTTCTGCCTTTAAAAGCACACACAACCCACGATTCCTTTATTCGCTCCGACGAAGGGCTAATGCTCGAAACGTCAGCCTTTATAATCGTAACGGTGGCCAATTTACCATTTCAACTTTGTTGATATATTCAAATTATCTGTGTTAAACTTCAGCTGCCAGTCATTGCTCCAAGATTCCAGGTTAATAAGATCTTTCTGTAATTCTTCAACATCTTCGTTAGTATCCCTAAGTATCCTGTACACCTTCATATCATCTGCGAGGAGTTTTGTGTTTGACATAATGTTTCTTGAAATATCATTTATATAAATGAGGAATGAAATCGGCCCCAGTAGGGTTTCTTGAGGTACACCAGATGAAACTAAAGTCCAAGATGAGTGATGTCCCCGCAGAACAACGCGCTGGTATCGATTGGTAAGAAAGCATCTGAGCCTAGACAGGAATGGGCCTTGGATACCATGAGCGTGTATCTTTGTCAAGAGGCGTTCATGTGGCACTGAGTCGAACGCTTTTGAAAGTTCTAAGAATATAACATCAGTTGACAAGCCTTTATTTCTCTCACGGGAACAGTCGTGAAACGAAGATAATAATTGAGAAAGACAAGATTTCTCTTTCAGGAAGCCAAACTGCTCCGGAATAAAGACCTCGTTTGCAGTCCAAAAGTGGACAAGCTGCTGTCTTACTATTACTTCGCACACTTTGCACACCACCGATGTCAGTGAGACTGGACGATAGTTTTAGCGACTTTTTTATGCAAAGGAGTGATGTCAGCCAATTTCCAATTGTGTGGTAACATGCCCGATGTAAAAGACACATTAAAAACATCACTTAACGAGGAAGCTAGGAGTCCAGCGCATTTCCTTAAGATCATGGGATGTATGCTGTTTGGACCAGGAGATTTACGAGGTTTCAACTCACTTAAAATCTTACTAACATCGTTAGGTGAACAGTGTAGAAGACTAAGATCCTTGTCTTTGATAACTTGGTCAAATGATGGAAAGTTTTCAAGGTTTTCGGCTGTAAAAGCATAAGAAAAATTTTCATTCATGCTCTCAGCAATGTCACCTTCGTTTGTTAGCAGATTGCCATTGTCTAGCTTTATAGCAATTAGATCATATGATCCTTTGCGCCTAGACTGCACGTAATTCCAAAAAAGTTTGCGTTCGTTATTGTTGTGCATATCGTCAGCCAATTTATCAGGGTACTCCCAGCGTGCCTTGTTGCATTCTTTATTCCACAAATTACTTTCCTTGTTGTAAGTTGACCACGATTTATCATGATTACTGATCTTGGCTTTCTTGTACAAACGCTTCTTTTTCCGTACTAGCTTAATTAACTCAGCTGAGATCCAGGGAGACTGGCGATTTTTCTTCTTTTCTTTTTTGAGATGTACAGTACCTGCAGGCATGGGAACAGTTGTTGGAGCATCTGGTAAAGGAAGGCGACTGAGGGCATCAGCATGGGCTACCTGGGTCCCTGGTTTGTACTTGAATTGGTAATCATGTGCTGAAAGGGACAGAGACCACCGTAGAGTGCGCCCTGAAACCATGGTAGACAATGACTTGCGTCCTCCAAAAAGTGTTTCCAGGGGTCTGTGGTCGTTGTTTATGACGAAGTGTCGACCGCACAAGCTAAGTAGTTATGGAACTTTTTGACTCCCCAAAGGACTGCAAGCAACTCCTTTTCAAGCTGAGAATATCCCTTTACGGCAGTGGTTAGCGAACGAGAGGTACAGCTAATTGGCCTTTCTACCTCGTCGATGAGGTATACTATCACTGCTCCAATCCCCTTTCCACTGGCATCATACGAGAGGATGATCTCCTTTGTTGCATCAAAGGGAAGAAGAAGGCCTGAGTTTTTGAGGAGTTGTTTTAACTTTTCAAATGCATCTTGCTGCATTTTTCCCTACTAAAAGTTCACGTTCTTTTGAAAGAGCTCATACATTGGTGCTAGTACTGAAGATAGGTTAGGCAAGAACCTTCCATAGTAGTAAAGGAGTCCCAAGTAACTCCTAAGCTCAGAAACGTTTGTGGGAGCAGGGGCCTCTACAATGGCACAAATTAAATTGGATGTAACCCTTTTTCATCGATCCTGTATCTAAGGTAAGTTGCCTCAGTGGCCATGAAGACACACTTGTCCTTGTTTAGACGAAGTCCAGTAGTTGATAACTGTTAAGTACTGTATGATAAGACAGCCATATTGAATTCAACCTCGTGGTTAATTGCATCCCATAATGCTTATGGTATTTTCGTGATAGCATACATGACAATAACCTCTGAAGTACTGCATTCAGGTTGGCCATGTGTTCTGTGTCATCCTTGCCAGTCACCAGTATGTCGTCTTGATAACCAACAGTGCCTGCTAATCCCTGGATCATGTTGTCAAAGATGCGTTGGAAAACTGAAAGTGATGAAGAGATTCCAAAGGGAAGCCTTGTGTACTGGTAAGGACCTCTTTGGGTGTTGGTTGTAGTGTAATTTCGTGAATCTTCTTAAGTGGAACCTGTAAGAAAGCACTGCTGAGGTCGAGTTTTGTGAACTTTTGACCACCTGATAGTTTCGCATAGAGATCCTCTCTCCTGGGAAAAGGGCACTGGACAGTGTGAATGCCACAGTTAATAGTGAGTCTGTAATCACGACATAAACAGATTTGGCCATTCGTTTTTTGAACGGATACAGCTGCAGCTGCCCACTCTGCAAACTGCACTGGTTCGATCACTCCTTCTTTTTCCAACCTCTGCAACTCTTCATTAACTTGGTATCTGATGGCATATGAAACTAGACGTGGTTTGAAGAACTTGGGTGTCACGCTCTCGGGAACATTGATCTTTGCTTTAAGTCTTGTGACTTGTACTAGGTCTGGTTTCCAAAGAACTGAATATTTGTGTTCGAGTTCTTGGACTGAGGCTCGTTTACAGCTGTTCAAGCCAATCTCGTCTAAGGATACTGGGTCAACAACAAGCAGTAGTAAGTTGAATGACTTATCGTGGTGTTTCATCTGTACAGCTGTGGCTCCTAAAACTTTCACATCAGTCTTCTCCCGTGTAAGTACGTAGTTGTGCCTTGGTTTTCTCAAGTTTCTTTGCACTGGAAAATATTCTAAAAGTATTCTGAAAGTAACTGCCTTTGTCTACTTTTGTCGTTGCTTGCATAAATCCTGTAAAACGTATTGTTTGTGGGAAATAGACCACTTTCATAAATGGCTTCTGGATTAATATTCTTTTGTTGAAATTTAAATTAGTCCTTCTGGCCTCGTTCTCCAGTACAAAATTCAAAAGAATACATTATCTCAAGCGAGGCCAGAAGGGCTAATTTAAATCTAAACAAAAGAATATTAATCTGGCAGCCATTTATGAAAGTGCTCTATAATTTTTTGGTAATGAATTACTCACGACAATTATAAACTTATGCACGTTTAGCATTTTTTCCACTTCTGTTTTAGTTTATTCCCGCATTGCTTCAGCTCGCTTATAGTTTTACTGTCACTTTTGTCGGTGTTCGCGCAACAAATTCATGTACAACACGTTCTTAGTGCGAAATATTGTTGAGTTTAAAACGGCTGATTCATTGACTTACTGTAAATCAGTATACCTTAACAATTTAATATAAAATTGCGATAAAACATTTCTTAAAATCATTTTAAGATTAAAAGATTGCTAAAAGACGACGATGTTTCGACGTTAGCTAAACGTCATTAACAAGTCAAAATATGTTTGTGAGTTCCAGTCTATAAATACTTAAAAAACAATAGCTAATTAAAAGCTGTCACGTGAAAAATATTAAACAAAAAGTTTCGCACTTAGGGAGTTCGTCTGGATATTTCAATTAGGTTTAAGATTCTTGATGAAGAGCATTTCAAATACTAAACAATCAAATTTGCACTGGCACTTTCTTAAACTGTGAATTGGTTTTCTTTCAAGAGGTTGTTGTTAGCATGAGTTTCTAAGAAATGTTTACCGATTGCGGAATTTTTGTGCTCAGCAATGCTTTGATGAAGGTGTCGGGCTGTGTATCCGACATAATCTGCATCACACAGATCACATGAAAAAAGATAAACA